CATATAAATTTTGATGTCAAAGTTGGGATCTTCAATAAAACTTAAGGGTAATTTCTATAAATTATTAATGTTGAGGGATTAAAATTTAAAAAGTCGCCGGAAACAACACATTTCGATCGAGATTCAATTAAAAGGGGAAAAAAAATCGAAAAGGAAAAAAAAAAACGAGAAGAAGATCGGAGACGACGACGGTGATGACGATGGACAGAGAGAAGGAGAGAGAACTTGAGCTCGAGAGTGCAATGTACACAAACTGTTTGCTTTTAGGTTTGGATCCGAACGTGATCGGTCTCGGAGCCTCCAATGGCACGCCTCGGGTCGGGTTATTTCGCCATTCCAATCCAAAGCTCGGTGAACAGCTTCTATACTTCATCCTCTCTTCTCTTCGTGGCCCTGCTCAATCTTCAAAGGTACGATTCTCTCTTCACTGTCTCTCTCTCTCTCGCCTCACTCGTCACGAAATTGATTTTGAAATTCTGGGTTTTGGAATCAGTTGTTTGATTTTGGTTTGGCTTGATCTCTCAGGATTTTGATAAGGTTTGGCCAATTTTCGATTCGGCTCAATCTCGCGATTTTCGTAAGGTAAAGAGGGCTTGAGAAATCAAGTTTCTTTAGTGTTTGTGAGCAATTTGTTTTCTTATTGAATTCGTAGTTTACTTAACACTAGAATTTTTCATCTGAAAGGTTGTTCAAGCGATTATAAGCGAGCTTGAATCACAAGGGGCATTACCAAGGAGTAATTCGAGGGTTTCATCACTAGCCACTTGCTGTGGTCCAAGGTTGGTTGATGCTACGCTGTGATGTGATTCTTGTGTTTATGTTCATTTTGGTTTCTTTCTAGTTCTTAATAATGAGCAACTAGTTAGTCATTTCTGTTTCGTATTCGTTGGGCATTTTAGGCTTTATATTAAGCTCTTGGGGTTTATCTGATGGTCCAGGTAATTGAGCAGCATTAGGTGATCTGATATGTATATGTGGTACCTCCTGTTTTGTTTGCAGATTTGTGGAGCTCTTATGGCAACTTTCATTGCATGCATTAAGAGAAGTTCATAGGCGGACATTTCCTGCTGATGTAGCTTCCAATCCTCTACCTTCTTCTCTAACTGACGTATCTTTCTCGCATGCAGCTACTTTGCTTCCTGTAACCAAGGTAGTACCAAAAGCATTACCTTAAAGATTTTGTGTTATACTTCCACTGGTCTATGTGAACCTTGTTGGCTAGTGCACGGGATAACATAGAAATGGATTTTCAGGCCCGGATAGTGCTTGAGCGTCGTCGGTTTCTTAAAAATGCAGAGACTGCGGTACAAAGACAGGCCATGTGGTCTAATTTAGCACATGAGATGACTGCAGAGTTCCGTGGTCTCTGTGCTGAAGAGGTAAGGTGTTATTTTTTGGTGCGAAGTACTCAATAATCTTGTCTGGTTACTATGGCTTTTATTGATGCATTTCAATTTCTTTTTGTTTGGCATCAGGCTTACCTGCAACAGGAACTAGAAAAACTTAACGATTTGAGAAACAAAGTGAAGCAGGAAGGAGAAGTCTGGGATGACCTTGTGTCTAGCTCCAGTCAGAATTCTCATCTAGTTTCAAAGGCAACTAGGTTATGGGATTCTATAATGGCTCGTAAAGGTAAGGTTTTTTGCTGTTCTATTTGTCATTACGAGTTAATACAGAGATAAGTACTCAAAATATGGAATTATGCAGGAGTCATATAGTTTATAGTTTTGTTTTTTGTCACTATCTTCAGGCCAGCATGAAGTACTTGCGTCAGGTCCCATTGAGGATTTGATAGCTCACAGGGAGCATAGGTAACTGGCTTCTTGTATGTCGCATGGCCTGAACTCCACTTACCCATTTACTGATGTCTGGTTTTCTTTGATTTGTAGATATCGAATTTCAGGATCGGCCCTACTTGCAGCGATGGATCAGAGTTCTCAAGTTCCTTGTGCAGAATTACTCTCTGCCCATTCAGATGATTCAGCTTCACTTGCGGATGACAAAGAACTAAGTGATGGATCGTACACAAACATGCATGACCACTCTTTAGGAGACAGTTTTGAAACAGCCAGCTCACAAGCAAGTGATGAAACACTTTCTCGAGTAGATGATAGAGGTGGAAAGATCAACCAGACAGTCGATGTAGCGGAAGTCATAAGGCGCTGGACACATGCATTACAGCGTATTCATAAGCAGTCTCTTCTTCTGGTATGTCTTCTCATGTCTTGTTGTGGGTTTTCACTGAGAGTACGTTTTATCATTTTCGCAAATTATACAATGTCCCTCACTGCTTAATCGTCCACACACTGTTTTCTATGAGGAATCCAGGATTACTTATTTTCCATCTGTACATGTTTCTAGGCTAAAGCAAATGATGGGGATGGTCCAGATATTTTGCGAACTGCGAGTGATGGTGGTACAAGTGGGCATGTTGAATCATTGGCTGCAACTTTGACTGAACATCAACAACATTTAGCTAGCTTTCAGGTAAATATGGTAGCTTGTTCGTTCCCTTATTTAGAAATATCTTTTGGCCAACTATGGAAGTCAAATGCACAATGTATAAACATATATACAGTATAAGAAAGCTGCTTTTCTTTAAAGGCATTGATGAAAAATGTCAAGGAAACAAAGCTTATTGAGAGTATCCGCATCATGTCACAAAAAAAAAAAAAACTAAAAATTCTTCTTTTCTAGCAATTCTGTTTTATTGGAGATTCCTGAAGTTCCATAATGATGGTGGATATTCTTATTCAGCTTGTCTTGAGAGAGTATCAAAAAGTTGTGAGATCTTTTATATCACCACGCTGTTTGTAGGATCTCTTGGAGCATGCTCCGAAAACCTTTCTTATGCATCGAGCTCATATGTACTGGCTCAATCTCTACTATGTTCTTACTGATGGCACACTATATGCAGGTTCTTATCAACCAGTTAAAGGAAGTTTCTCCAGCCCTACAAAAATCCATATCGGAATGTACTGAGATGGTTAATAGTCTTCCCCCGACCTTGCCTCCAGTTACGAGAAGTAATGGGCAAGCATCTTCACTTCTACAATCTCAGGGCAGTGGGAGAATTATGGTAGCAGTGGAAGGCTTAATTTTTATTCTATTTCGACGCATAATTTATTGAGAATTGAGACGCTCATGTACATTTTTTCCTTGTGATACAGGATGGTGTATCCAATGATGTTGCTGAGTTGACCTCAACAATGTCTAATGTTCAGCTCGAGAAGGTCTCAGCTAGTCCTACATTAAAGCTTCCACAGTTATTTAGCTCTACTCCTACTTCTTCTGGTAAAGGAGGAAATGGACAAAAGCGACAGACAATGGCTTCTCAGGTCAATAAAATGGAAAGCTTGTCAGAGAAGAACTCTACAGACCAAGCACTATCAAATGCTCGACCAGACAACTTACCGACTGGTTTGTTACATGATTACCTTCTTTATTAGAACGAAACATATGTAGTTGTATATCAAAAGAAGATTCTGCTGATGTGAATTTTTCAAGCTTTTAGTTTTGGTACCAATCATCCATTCTAGGCCTATTACAGTTCTAACTAATCTAATGAGTAGCTCATTTTCTCCATATCCGTTTGTAAGAGAATCTAGTTTATTTACTTCATGTGTTATCTCCTAATTCAAATTTACGCTCTAATTTTGGTTTCAGATACAAGCAGCTCTTTTGTCCAGAACCTAAAGAAATCTGTGAGGGAAGCGGCTTTATTGATTCCTTCTTCAGCAGGATCATCACGGGACAGTCAATCCGATGAGGGCTCCGAGCATTATTTTGTACCTCTTTCAGCAACTGGCTTTTCCCGTTTTCCATCAGAAACCAAAGCCCTGCCTCCCAGAGGGTCGAGGGCACTTACCTCTATGAGCGAGCCTTCGTTTCTTGAACCCAATGTTCCTGATAGCTTTGCGCCAAGCAAGTACAGCGATATACCTGACACGTTTGATGATCTAGATTCATTCAAAGATTACGATAACGGAAATGGGTTTCTCTCGGTTGCTGGATCAAACAGTGTAGCTTCTGATGCACAACAATCGTTTTACGATGTTGATGATCAAGTATTTTCCCCACCTTTACTAATGGACTCGTCCCTATTATCAGATGCCTATGAAGACTTGTTAGGTACGTTGATCATCCTCATAGTCACATACGTTTAATGGTAGCCTAATCATCTAAATAGAAGAACGCAAGAAATGGCCGATAATATAGAAAAACCGGTGTGTAGATTTTTCTCTAAGTATATACGTAGATCGCAAAATCACAGCATCTAGGATCTGACATTGGTGTCATTCACAGAGTTGATGAAGTTTATTACACATTTCACTTTCCTTTTGCAGCTCCTCTGTCTGAAACCGAAGCCGCTTTAATGGAGCATTAGGAAGAACCGAAGAAGCCTTGTGTTTCTTCAACGATTGTTCTCGGTCTGTGATCGATCTCTCGGTCTGACACAGGTGTTTCAGTTATTTACCATTTAACAAGGCTTTCTTAATTTATCTTGGATTTGTTGGTAATGGGGACTGACTCTTGATGAATGAATCATGATGATATATCACTATTTGTTTGTGTGTAAAAAAAAAAAACTCTAGCTCAGGTAGAAAGCATTGCTCTCTAATATTTGGTTTTTCTAAAAATAACAGATTTGATTATTTTGCTTTAGTTTTTTTAGATGTAAAGAAAATAGAGAAGAAGAGTTTGATCTGCCATTCTTTTTTTCCCTAAATCACTTAAGAGTTTATCACAATATTTTGTTACTGACTTCTCCTCCGAATATTCAATTTCATGTACTATGTGTTTTGTGTAATTTACTCCTGTTTCTATCTAATGAGTAATATTTTTCATACCAAAAAAAAAAATCTAATGAGTAATATTTTGTTTATTCAATTTCAAGAAACCTTATTATGAATAATTGGCTGATTATAGATTGGTTTCGTAAAATTAAACATTGTTTTCACAAGAATTCAATTGTTTTTGAAGATCTCGTAGCTAAAGAATAACAAACGTTCAATAAACTTTTATTTTATTCAAGAAATCAGATCAACATGGAGAGAGTTATAAAACAAATGAGAAATTTTCAAAAAAATATTAAAAGTCAAGAGAACAATTCATAGAAACTGAAACAAAAAGACGAATGTAATAACCAACTTAATGGTTGGAACCAACGACGAGAGCCACGGCGGCAATAGCCAAGACGGTGAACATATTGGTGGCCGAAACAACGGCTGAGCTAGATGCGGGTCCTGGTGCTGGAGCCGGAGCATGGTGGTGGTGACCTTCATGAGCGGACACAACGGCGATCGTCGCCAATAGGCAAACCACAGCGATCTGAACAAACATCTTCTTCATCATCATCTTCGTCAAAAACGTTTGAGTTTTGTTTTGGTTTTTTTTTTGATGAATGAGAAAAAGATTTGTGTTGTTTGTTGTGTAAATAGGTTTGTGGGATTTGTTTATATATAGAGAAAAAGGTTTTGTTTATGATATATTGAAATTAATTACAATATCTTAAAATAAGATTTTTCAAAATTTGGGTCTAAAAATAAGATTTGTTTCTATTTTTTTGTTGAATTGGCCCTGGCTTTAGACCCAAATCAAGACAGCTGTTTAAGATTATATTTGATTTTCTGTCTATCATGTTCCTATAATTGGTTTTTCAAAAAAAAAAAATGTTCCTATAATTGGCCAATAATTTGGCTTTCAAAAAAAAAAAAGAAGCAAAAAAAAGATGTAAATATTTTGCAGAATCATAAAGTTTTTAAAAGTGAATAATTGAGTTTTATCTTGTCATAAAGTGATTTATTGTTTATGGCTTCTTATGGGTGGGCAATGAAGGGTAACAAATTAGCCTCATTAAAACAAAATAAACTTTAGTTATTGGACTCATAACATTTATTATTGCTAAATATTAAGATTATATGATTCTCTCTATCACGTTCCTATAATTGGTCAATAATTTGGATTTAAAACCAAAAAAAAAAAGAAGGAAAAATATGGTAAATATTTTGCAGAATCAGAAAGTTTTTAATAGTGAATTATCTTTGTCATAAAGTGAACTATTGTTTATGGCATCTTATGGGGTAGGCAATGAAGGTAAAAAATTAGATTCATAAAAACAAATTAACCTTTAAATTATCATAGCATTTATTATTCCTAAATAATATAATAAATTATGGATTAGACAGAATTAAGAATTAAAAACTCGATTGTGTTTTAAGGAAAAAAAAGACGTGGAGCCGAATTAGTTTTTGGTAAGGAAAATTCTAGAAGAAGATTCCATATATACGTGAACATGAATATGATTATAATAAGCACATATTTCGCTCTCGGGATTTTGGCTAATATAAATTTAATCATAATTACTCACTTTTTTTTTAATTAGATAAATCAGGGAAAAATGAGTATAATGACGTTATTCAATAAGATACGAGAAGATAAATTTACTATGCTTAACAAATTTTAGTCTAATCAAGAATTAATGAGATGTTAAAAATATAATAAAATAAAATCAAGAATTAATGCAAAAAATACAATTAGAACAGGTGGTTTCTTTTTGCAAGAAAATAAAACCTGGATTATAGCTAGCCATGTGGGAAACAAAACGCCGACTGATGACATTATAATAATGATTGGTGTAACAATATTATGACAATGATAAGTCGATAATCATAATCACCATCAAGTTTCTTCTTGATAAAACTAAAATTAAAATATAAATCTACATTGAGGGTTTTTTAATTAACTTATTAAGTAAAGAGTATAACATTTGTTTCGTCTTCTTTTTTTTTTTCCCCCGGGAAGCAATCAATATTTACAAATCGGACTAATCTCTACATTATTTTCACCGTGGAAAAAATTAGGAAACAAAAAAACGAAAAAAAAACAAAATCTATTGGGCTTTCAATTGTTTTTTCCTCTTCCGACCAACCCTTTTATCGGCCCATGAGCCCATTTGAACTATAACTTCATCTTCCACTCTCCTCGCTTCTCTCTCCCATACTAAACGCTGCGTTTTACGGTCCCTGAAATTATCCAACACCCAATCCCTAAGCCCAATATCTCTCACTTCACAAAACCTCTCAGCCCAATCAGACGGTTCAACGGGTCGGGTCCCTAAACCGGGTGCCCGATCTTTCGACCCGACATTCTCTTCGTTTTGCCAATCCGCCACGTAAGTCGCCACTCTCCTTTTAAACTTCTCTTTAAATATCTCCCAAACCTGATATTTATAGTGGTTAATTACCATCATACCCTTATCCACGTCAGCGAACGCGAATCCTTCTTTTAAGTGAAAATGATGCACGACGTTTATCAGCGTCGCGTTTAGCGACTCCGGTCTAATTATGCTCTTATGTCTCTCCGGTAACGCCATACGACACGTATACGCCGCCGTGACTCCACCGCCCGGTGGATCGCTAAGTCCCGACGGTCCGAAACTGTGACACGGCGTTCGAATTTCACCGATCTCCCCGGACGATGTTGTGTGATTTCTGATTACGTCGGTTAAGGTTTGACCAGAGGGGATGTAGAAGAACTCGTCGACGTCTATAAACGCGACCCAATCGCAATCGCTCTTTGCTCGAATCGCGCAACTGGCGAATCCTGCTTCTTGAGTTTTGATCCACGGCCAAAAATGTCTCGAGATGTTGTAACCGCGATTTTCTAGATTCTTGATCTCTGAAACAATGTCGTCGTCGCTGTTGTTGTCGTAGATGAACCACCGTTGAACGCCGATTCCGGCGTGGTATATTACCCATTCTCTCAAAACGTTTGCTGCGTTTCGCGTCATGGTGCAAACACACGTCTCAAACGTTTTCGTGTCTTTGACCCGACCCGGACGTTTAATTGGGTGGGCAACAGAAGGAAGCATCCCACTTCCTTTAATCCTCACCGAAACTTTCACCGGTTGAGATTGGGCCTTTCTTGGGCCGTCTAATACAGTTAGTGGCGTTTTGCATCGTACGATCTCTTGGGCCGCAGAGATAACTTGTGCTCTAAGCAAAAGTTTGGGCTTCGTGAAATCCCAACCGTACACGCACTCATACCTCGACACGTCAGCAACCTTTCCTGGCCGTAGATTAAGCCCCTTGACAAAAACCACCGTGGAATTGTCGTCGTCGATCACGGCGTCGTACACCAGCCAATCCCATCGGTGTGTGAGCCCTACTTGGAGATTACTATTATCAACCGTCCATCTCGAAACGGCGAGGGATACGGTATTGCCACGTGGAACGGCTGAACACCGTACGATGTGACGGCCATAGTCGTCGGTTTCCACCGCGTACGGAAGCTCTTTAAATAGTTTAGACGAATCGTTTACGTCGGAGAAAACGCAAAAGAGGTCCTCTTTTGTAAATAACCGAGAATATGGAGGGTATTTTAGGAAAATCAATGTTTGGTCGGGAAACTCAACTGCTTCATGGATCGTCACCACCTTAACCGCCGGTACAGAACCACGGAGAACTGCGTTGACCGATGACCGCACCACCGGTCGAATTTTCCCTGATTTATACAAATAGTAATTAGTATTAAGCATTAAGTAATAATAAATAAAATAAAAACGGTTGTCATTAATTGTTTGATTACCGAAGAAGATAAACAAAGCAGAGAAGAGAACGAAGGAGAAGACGAACAAAGAAACAAATCGGAAAAATCTTCTCCATGAAACAACGACGTCGCCACCGCTTAAACCACCGCGTTTCCTACGGTTCTTCATCTTTTACACCGCCGAAAACGGCGGCGATGGCTGAGAATTAAATCCAAAAAAAAAGTAATTAGATGAAGCAAAATATTTTAGTTCTTTCTTAGTCTCTCTCTTTGTCGCAGGCTACGAAGATTTTAGGTCGATAAAAATTTTCTGAAAGAATAGAATAATCTATTTTTTACCTTTTTAAAATTCTCTGATAAAGAAAAAAGACAGATAAATATGGGGTTTAGGTTTTGCCTTTTTTTTTGTGTGTGTGTTTCTTTGGGAATTTTCAACTTTCTTCTTCGGTGCTCAAAGACGTTTATGGAAATTTACGAACTTTGATGTTGAAGGTTTAAGATAAAGACCGCTTATTGTGCTAAACCAACCGGTTCGACCGGTTTATCTATCTGTCTTTCGGGCCGGCGCAGAGGGCAAGCCACCTATTAGGGCCTCAAAATTTGAGGGACTTTTTACCTAAAAATTTGTTAAGTTTTCTTATATACAATAATTTTTGTAGGGCCTTTTAAAAATATTGTTGGCTTTTAGAGACAACTACAACATTCTTTTTAATGGTAAAAATCTAATTTAAAAGAATTTTTTTTTTATGGCTTTACTTTTGCTTAGGGCACCCAAATTTACCGGGTCGGCAGAGGTCTTTCCTTTTAAAAAAAACCAATAAAATATCTAAAACTATTTGGTTTTATTGTCACAAATACTTTTTTTTTGTCACAAATCATTAGCACAATAATACAAGCTCAATAATACAATACATGTAATTATCCACGTTATACCGTATAGTGTCTGTCGTAGTAATATGCATTCGAAGAGTGAGTGTTTATAAATTTATAATATGTATAGACACATGTAAAGATTTGCCAAAAGAAGAAAAGAGCAAATAAAAAGTTACGATACCTTGCTTGTTATATTTTACCTCATTTTTATTTACCTACTTTTAGTGCTTTGAATTTATCCACTTTCTTTTATTTTTGTTTTGTTTTTTTGTTTATCGTTGAAGTTGAGCTTGAAAGAGACGAGGCTATGATTCGATTAGTGTCTTGACTTTTGAGTGATATTGGACTTATACTGGGAAAAAGTAGGATCCACTTATCTCCTTTTTTTTCTTCACGTCATCTCTAACGTATATCCCACGTTGTCGTTTTGGTTCTTCCAAAGATATCTGTTTTGTAATTTGGCCCAAAAGGCCTTTCATCAAACGGCCCAATTGATAAAATGGTTGATAACTCAAAAATATAAACCAAATAATTAAGAATGATACTAACAAGATATATGAAAATGAAAAATCATGAAACATTAAGGTGAACTTTTTAAGAGTGAAATGGTAAAGATGTTAATTGTAATTGTACCGCTCTAATTGCAGTAAACACTATTGAATTCCAAGTAATAATAATATTAGTACAAGTTGAAATATAAAGTATAAGGGATTTTGCAAAATGCACTAATCTGATCCTAATCATCTCTACCTAAGAAAAAAAATGTATTCTCTCTCAGATGATTAAGCCGCCATTATAGCTAAAGGTTGATATGCTTTAGAAGGGTTTCTTCTTCAGACCATTGCGTCTAATACGCTTCAGTTCTTGAGATCCCCTCTTTAATCCTCTGCAGATTAGTAAAACATAGAAACAATGAGTTCATGTGAAGCTTTTGCAGATTTATAATTTGTAGAAAACCGGAAATATTGTTTACCTTTGGAACAAATAGACAAAGCTGTAATAGAGAAGAAGCACTATCAAAGTGCTGATGGAGATGATAATGTATAACTTACCTCTCTTCTGCAAAACATATTACTGAGATTAAATGAGATTTGATATGATATAATATCATATTAAAAAAATTGTTTATTATGTTACCTTTGGTTTTTGAGAAAAGGGCCTTGATCCTCCTGAACATGTATGTGCATCACAGAACTGGCGCAAGAAGAAATCTGCAGTTTTAAAGTTAAAACCCCCAAAAAAGGTTGGTGCATCTTTAAGGATCCAGTAAGATAACTGTTGAAACAATAAAGGTTTCATCTGTTTGAATCCAGGAAGGTAAAGGTTATAGTACCGTGAAGACGGTTGGCTGATGGACCTTTATTTACCGGAAAACAACTATTAGCCAAACTCTGCAATGCAACCACACATACGAGATAAGCACGGGAACACAAGATACAGAACAAGGTCATAAGTGAGAAGAATCTTTCAGTGAAATGTTCTTTGCATACTTTATTGTTCTGTGACAGGTTTGGACTCTAATACTGCAGTTCAAACTTATCATACCACACAAGTTTGGACTCTAATACAAGCTACAAACAATCTGCAGTTCTTTGATGCACATACACAAGAAACATCTGTTTGAGTGTTCTAACTTCTGACCGTGTCATATGACAAACTGTGACAAGCTACACGGTTTCTTTGAGTATTAGAGTCCACTGTATTTGATTGCTTTAGTATAGACTATGCTGATTGAATAACCTTTTTACCTCACATAAGTGCCGGTTTCTAGCAGAAGCTGCAGGATTACACTTAGACTTAAGCTGAGCTGTATTTACAACAAGATCACAATGCAACGCTCCACAAAGATCCGCCAGACATTTACCATGACTCTGGATTCAAAACCACATAAGAAATGAATCGGTAATAGACCCCAAAGAGTATGAATTGTCGCAGAAATATGGATCATTTAACAATAATGCATAATATGTACCGCGTTAAGCAAATTGTAATGGCGTGAATCGAAATGCTTATCGAGGTACTTCTCTTCATAAAAAGCCTTTTTACAGAATCCACAACGCCACTCGTTTATATCTGAATGAACTTTATGCTCTTCTTGTTCTCTATAAATGTCGTTGTCTCGATGAACTCTACAACTACTCGGTAACTGATACCGCTCTTTTTCCACATATGGCATGAGATACTTCACAACAACAAAGATCAATGATAAATTTCTACAGATTTGCATAAAAAATAAAAACCAATTGCTTCAATTCATACCTCTTGGATGATTTTCCAAGCAACTCTGCTACGTTCTCTTGAACAATGAATCTCATGAAAACTGTCTTCTTTCGGTTTCAAAACCCTAAATTATATGATCTATTCAAGCATCAGAATTGTGCATTGGTTTATAAAGAAACCCTAAACGAGTTTTAACAATCACATGAGAAGAATTTGAATTCACAATACCTTCCATCTACAGGATCTTTAAATCCCTGTATAAACAAACACAATGGACAATCACAAAACTTTAAAATTTGATTCTTTTACACGAAATCTACACTTGAAAAGAGCTGAAAAACCCTAAAATTTACCTTGAGGTGCTGTTTAATTATCGAAGTGGGAAGTGAGAATCCCCAAAACTGAGAAGAAACCAAGAAGCAGAGGAGAATCCAATGACATGGACATTTCGATTTCACCATCTTCGTTCTCACAAAAACGACCAAATAAGAAGATTTCAAATTTTGTGTATTGATGAACAACGAAGTTGAAGGGGTTTCAAAAACAACAAAAAAAAGTTTAAGGTAGTGTTATTGAATTAATGGATTTGGATTTTTTTTTTTTTTTTTTTTTTTTTTTTTTTCAAGGTAAAAATCCAATGTTACTTAATTTCACTAAAAAATATGAAGAAACAATTTCTAAATTTTATGTTCTCATTTGGTTAGAATTCATTCAAATCTTTAAATGCTTTAAACTATTTTTCTCTTCAATTGATTCAATAATTATATTTTAACCATTGGCTATATCCTTTCCAAAACTTTAAAATATTTTGAAAGGCCACCAATTTGGGATTTTTAAATACTATTTAGGGCTTTACTCTGAATTTTTCACTATTAATTTATCAAAAAAGTGAATTATAGATTTTGATTTCATATATTTTTAATAATCAATAAAAAATTTGAATTTAAAAGGAAAATTTTTTATAACCATCCCAAACTTCAACATGGTTTTGGTTAATCTTCGACGAATCGTGATTAAATCTCATTTTTACAATTTATTCGTGTTATTTCAATATGTTCGATCTTTTTTTTCCTATCTTCACCACTTTCTTGATCTTTATGAATAGATATGGTATGAAAAAGAATCTTGTACTTTCAGTTTTTGATTAAAAAAAAATCAAAAAATGATGATATAAAATCCTTTGTTTTACCCAAAAAAAAAAGTAAAGTAAAACTATAAAGGAGTAATTTGTGTTTATTTTTCCTGGGAGAAGCAATCAATATTTTCATCTATATGATTAATTATTGTTGGATGCAAAGGAAGAAGGAAAAACTACAAAATCTACCACTTATTCTCAATTTCTTTCAAAATCTACCACATTCCTTCCCTTCTTTCAACTCATACCACATTTTGATGTAGAGTTACCATTTTGTCCTCCCTTTTTATCTTCCTTTTTATCTTTCCTCCCTAATTATTTCTCCTCCCTATTTATCTCTCCTCCCTATTTATCTTCCCTACAATATTAGCTTCTCTATTTATCTTTCTCTCCCTCGAAACACGTACACTTTAACCAAGAAACATTATATCTCCTGAGACTAAACAATTAACTTTCGTTTTTGTCTCCAGATCTTGTTCCCGATTGGAAATTCTCTGTTGCGTTTAGATCTTGTCCCCGATTTCATCATCTTGCTCTATTATCATGAATTCCACATCTTGTCCACCAATTGTTCTCATTTAAGGGTTTCGAATTTTATTTAGATTTTTCACCATCTATTTTGGTACAGAGATTAGTTGAGCATTATTGTCTTCACCTACCCTGATTATTGAATTTTTTTTCCTTCTATTGCAAAATAACAAAAAGATCCAGTTGTCCCCGAGTACTATTACTCATTCTATTACTCATTCGATATGAACTTGTCCCCGATCTAATTCTATTACTCATTCGATCTGAACTTGTCCCCGATCTAATTCTATTACTCATTCGATCTGAACTTGTTCCCGATCTAATTCTATTACCCATTCGGTCTGAACTTGTCCTCGATCTATATCTATTACCCATTCGATCTGAATTTGTCCCCGATCTAATTCTCTTACTCATTCGATCTGAACTTGTCCTCGATATAACATATTCGATCTGATTCTCTTACTCATTCGATCTGAACTTGTCTCTGATCTAATTCTATTACCTATTCCATCTGAATTCGATATGAACTTTTCCCCGATCTAATTCTATTACTCATTCGATATGAACTTGTCCCCGATCTAATTCTATTACCCATTCGATCTGAACTTGTCCTCGATCTAATTATATCACCCATTCGATCTGAATTTGTCCATGATCTAATTATATTACTCATTAGATCTGAATTTGTCCATAATATAACATATTATTTAAATAACCGTGCAACATTTATTGCATACCTGCTCCTTCTTTGGAAGCGCCAGACAAAACTATCTGTCTCTGACACAGACTCTGTCCCTAACACAGACTCTGTCCCAATCAGGGGTATTTTGGTCCAGCATTCCACATGTGCTATTGAAATATGGTAGATTTTGAAAGCTTTTTGAGATTGTGGTAGATTTTGAATGCCAGTTGTTAAAATGGGGTAGATTTTGCAATATTCCCAAGGAAGAAAAGTAGTTGCTTTTTTTATTTTTATGGTTGAAGTGTAATGTATTCTTTTTTTTTTTTTTTTTTTGTCTGCCAACTTCCATTAAATATTGTGGAAAGTACATAAAACCCAAAAAGACTTTTACACGTGATTACAAGCCTTATTAAAGCCCAAATTAAGGAAACTCATATACAAAATTAACACGTATTGAATACGTGTATGATGAAAAGCAAATCAAGAGGGCCCAGCATATTTCTTCTTGTTTCTTCTCGTCGCCGTCATAGATCTAAACTCAATCTCTGCTTCTTTCCGCCGGTGACGATAAAAACAACAGATGAATGCTTCAAATCACGGATTAGAACCATCTTTCTACTGATAAGACCACATCAATTAAACTGGATTCATCAAAAGACAAACTCAATCCAACCCCAAGTGGAAGCTCCACCTAAGTCCTATGTTAGGTAATCTTTCTAGAGTGTTCAACCTTAGTAACCAGATTTGATCTTAACAGGCCTTAGTTCTCATGTCCTCTATTTTGGTTTGCAGGTTTATGTTTGTTTAGCAAGAAAGAAAGAGACACAAAGATTTACGAGTTCCTAGGATCAATGTGATCCTAGTACGTCTCGGTGAACCTGAAACCGGCTCACAAGAAGTATCAGAGAAGCTTACAACTGAACAACGTTCACCCAAGCTCACGTCTCTCACCGTTACAGAGAAATAAACCCTAAAGATGATGAACAACAATGAAGATGATGACAAAGTCACACACCCCTCTCTGTACGTTTTCTCTCACCGCTCTCTTTAGTATTCTCTCACTACAATGACGCCAAAAGCTTCTCTACCTTGCTCCCTTAGCTCCTCACTTCTTTAATACCACTTTGTCGCCGCCTTGCAGGTGATACAAGACAAAACCGTATCTGACACACACAGAGTGTGTAACAACCAACACGACAGAGCTATTGTCGTTTGTCTCCTGGGCTAAGTCTGTAGCAGACCAGAATGGCCTAACGCAATTACCGGCCCAAACCTTTAGACTAGCCCACCTGTCTGAGCCCAATCGTCAAAACGACAACCTAGAAGAGAGGTCTTCAATCCTAAACGAAGAGGACATAGCGGTGAAGAAATTACTCCATCTATGAAGAAGTATCAAGTTGCTTGTTAATCCAACCAAAAGCAAACGGGATTTAAAATAAAGTTTTGTAGAAAGAGGGAAGAGGGAAAAACAACAAAATATAAATTCCTATTTAGTCGATAACACAAACAAGCTAAGAGAAAAACAACATCGACTAAGAGGAAATCAAAGATCCGAACAAAGTCGGAAAACAAAAAACAAAAAACACAGAAACTTCTGGTAAACCGGAAATCGCCAATCTCTCTCTCTGAAGGTTGAACAGTGTGATAAGAGAGAAGACTCTTTTTCTTGGTAAGTGTAATGTATTCTAACAACATCGCTTTTGTAACTCAAAGCTATTTTATTTGGAGTTACAAAAGTACACCCCACCCTTACATAAACCAATTAGTTCTCTCCTAATAAATCATATTACCTTCCTTATTTTTTAGCTATTTTTCTCCTAATCTTCTCACCCTAAATCAGATTTAATTTTAATGGATGTCAAAGAAAAAAAATCGGATATAATATAATATTAACCAAAAAATAAAATGAAAGCATATAATAATTAATATAAAAGTCTTTTTTATATAGAAAATCACATTCATTTTTTTAGTAAAAACAACTAAAATAGTTTTAAAACGCGTTGATATATCTAAAAATTAAGTTTTTTTTTATAAATATCAGAATTCAGTTTCGATTACAGAGTTTTTTTGGTTTTTCCTTTCCCAAAACACATTTCACATTTTAATATTTCATCACCAGAAAGTTGTCGTTTTCTCTTTTGGTTTCAATTCTCAGCCACTTCATATCAACAACTATAGCAGAAATAATTCATTTCTTGTTAGACTTCTTCCATACATAATTTATTCTCTCCTTCTCAAAAATTCCTATCAAATTTTCAAAAAAAAAACTCAAAAATCGAGTATCTTCTCTATTTTAAAAACAAAAATTCTGAGTTTTAACATATTTATCTGTTTCGTGGGACCCAGATCTCAACAAAAATTCTTCAGATCGTCTCCTAAAACATGTGTTTTTTTTTTTAAGTCTGACAAATAAAAACAAAATTGTTTTTTAAATTTCGAAAATTCTTTTATAGCCGTTTCGGTTTCGGTGAGAAAACCCATAAAAAGAGCTTCGATTTTTATTTATTTCATTTTGAGATTCCAACGAAGAAATTTTCGATTTTGAGGTTTAGTTGCAATGGGTGAATCTGCTGTTCTATTTCATTCCTATTCATTCGCTGCTCCTCCTTCTCGTAATGAATCTCATGAGGTTAGTTTCATTGTCTCTATGATTCATTTGATTCCTGGGAAAATTCGATGGTTTCTGGGCCATTTTGAATGTAAAGTTTTAAACTTTAGGGTTTAGCTTGATAGATATGAATCTTGATGTTGATTTACTCAAAGTATCTGAATTGGGTTTGAGTTTTTAGCTAATGATTTGATTGGAAATAGTTTGATTCACCAGAAAGTTTATAAATTTGGTTTTGAGTATTGTAAGATTCTGATTTTGGTTTGTTGGATTGCAGGATAATCCGATTCATGCGCTTAGTCAATCAGTTTCATTTGGTAGGTTCGTGACAGAGAATCTTGAATGGGGAAAATGGTCAAGTTTTTCGCATAAGAAGTATGTCGATGAAGCCGAGAAATTCTCTCAGCCTGGATCTGTTGCTCAGAAGAAAGCTTTCTTTGAAGCTCATTACAAGAAAATAGCTGAAGCCAAGAAAGCAAAAGCTTCAGATGAATCATCTGACACTAAGCAAGAAGAACAAGAACCAGAAAGTGTTGCGGTGTTGCTTAACACTTTGGAAACATTGACTAAGGATGAGGTTAAAGAAGAAGAGAGTGATGAAACTGAGTTAGTCATGAGTAGTGGTGAAGAGCCCGAAAGAAAAAGTGTTGCGGTTTTGGAGCAAGACGACGGTGAAGTGGATAACTCGTTCGTTAAACCCGTGGTTGCAGAGGGTTTGCAGGTTGTTCATGATGATAAAGAGAAAGAGAATCACTCAGAGGATGGAGAGTTGTTGAAGAAGAGCTGTTTCGTTGGAGAAAAAGAAGAAGAGAGAAAATCCGTAACCAACAACTCATCGGTGGTTAGATTGTCTATGGAGAAATCAGCAACTTCTGAAACTCGGGACAATGCAATGGAGCTTGTTTTCTCACTGAAAATAAGGTAAAAAGAGCAGCTTTGATTTTTTTGTCTACAATTTTTCCTCCATCTGATTGTTTTCTATTGTAATTTTGCAGTGGAAAAGCGATAACTCATAGTTCGTTGAAGAAAAACGAAAAACCAGTTCGTCCCAGATTCGGTTTCTTGAGGTAAGACTGATTTGTTATCTCTTCTTGTGTCAATGTGTATTTGAGCTGATGTTCCTATCCTAATTGTATACTGTTGTTGTGGCGTAGCTGTTTGATTGGAAACACTAAAACTCAAGATCAAAACCCGGCTATGAAGAAGGTAAGATTTCGACTTCAACAAATCATGAGAAGAAGCCTTTTGTCATTTCTATTAGTAATATGAAGACTGACACTAGCTTTGTTTATTCTTCAGAGAAAGACGAGTAAGAAACCATTTCTATGTCTTTGCTTCAAACCTGAGATGGCTGGGGAAACAGAAGCGGCAAGACAAAGGTAGAACACCGAAACACCGAAGAGGAATCTCTGAAAACACTTGCAAGTAGAAAGATTGATCCTTTGGCTCCAAAGCTTTTAGAAAGACCTGTCCTCAGATTCAAGCATGGTAACAACTAAAAAAGAGAATCTTTGAGTGCACAGTAGCAAGAAAAAATGAATAGCAGAAGAAGGTCTGTTTCTTTTTCTGGTATTGTAAACTTTGTGAACCTTTTTGTTGTATGTATGTATCTTCATCTTCTTCAATGAAAACACTTTCCTCTTCTTTCATAATCTTATACGCGATTCGGTTCGATTCGATATTGTTGTTTATTGAGATGTTGCAGTAAACTACTCTGTTTTGATTTGGAGAGGAATGAGTTGTTGAGAAAAGGTTTCAACTTTACATAAATTACAATTATAAATCATAGTTTTTGATTTAAGAATCAAATCACATTTACATAGATATAATCAATCATTCCCCCAAGTTATTAAAAATGATAAAATTTACAAAAGCAAAAGGAAAGACAATTATTGGGGGATAATCAGCCAGATCAATGATCAAAGAGATTAATTAAGTCATCATTTCTTCAACCAAATACCATCCTTCATCATATTCTTCCACATGATCCATCATCATCATCATCCCCACATCACAAAAACTCATCCTTCCATCATCATCAGTATCATCATCATCATCATCATCATCATGTGACCCATCTTCTTCTGTTTCACCATCATCATCACTACTCTGTATTTTCACAATTTCTTCTACAACACTTGCTCTGTTTTCTTCTTCTTCTTCATCTTCTTCATCATCTTCATAATCATGATCATAACCATAATCATCAGACATAAGATCAAGTATCCCGGTAGCCGAGAACCCGGAAAGCTTCAAACCGGGTCTAGGCCCTCCCGCAGCGACCTGCCAAGTCAGCATCTTGTAGGTAACATCATTTGATCTCACCTTAGAAGAGCCTTTAGTCTTGGCTTTGGATTTGGTGATCGGATGCATATGACAATCAAGGCACCTTGCTTGACCACATTTTCCGGTGAATTTCGAGTGATTGGTCGGCTTTGATGTCACTTTGGTAAACAATCCAGCGGTTGGCCGTGAAGTCAAAGGGTTGACCAACTTCGATTCCGGCCTTGGATTCAGAGACGGAGGCAGAATCCGGTAAGTCCTGACCATACCGTGTTGTTTGCCTTCTCGCTTCATCTTAGCCGTTGATCAATGAGACCTGAACTACACAAAAAAAAAAGGAAGAAGAAAGATGTGAAATGATAAAAAAAAAAAAAGGTTGCTTGAAGGATATAACAAGAAGAGGAATATACTTGCGGGACAAGGAATAGTCAAAAGTCAAGACAAATTCCTTAAAGTGAAGCTTGTGGACCAAACCAAATGAGTTGTGTAGATAACTTCCTCCCACTATTCAATTATTGGAAATTGTCTTCTTGTAGAAAAATAAAACAAAAAACAAAAGAAAAGAACCAAACTACACGCAAAATCCCACATATATGTATATCTTAAAATAAATTGATACAATTTCAACAAAATAATATTTAAATGTAAAATAATGTATATGGTTTCACTAATTATCATAAAAATAAGAACACAAGTCTATGATAAATATATGCAAAATAAGCTTCTAAAACATAAACGACATTATAATCTTTTGCATATAAACACAAAACTTTTAAATTAATAACACGACATATATTTATTTTTCTGAGATGATTTGCCGTCTAAAACCCAAGACGCAAATGCAAAACAGAGAAACAAACACACATAACAACAATTTAACTTATGTTTTGGCCTCATGATCGCCGCAACTTATTTGAAACATAAACACAAAAACGCAAACATAAAAACGAAAACATAAACACAATATGTTGCTCAGAAACCTTAAGCAAGCATCACACAACAGTTACGGATAAAATGGCTGAGTTTAACGCCATCGCAACGAGTCTCCTCCCAAATAATCTTTTCCACTTTTGGAGATGGGCGACATGTGTAAACTGACATTGTGTTGTTATCCCACGATTGAGTAGCTGAAGCTCCAATCACCAAAAGCCTATCTCCAACTGACTTAAATGCAACTCCCCAACCTAAAGCTGCATTTGCTTTCACAGGTACAACTCCAAGACTTTTCCATGCGTTTGCGTTTATATCATAAACCCAAAGCTCGTTCAACCATGTCTCCAGCAAGTAGAGGTTGTCCTTGACCACCGCGATGAGAGGCGGAGATTGGGGATTCATGAAAGTCATGCCTTTGAGCATGTTTGGTATCAACTTCCATGAATCTGTTAATTCATCGTAACTTTCTCCACAAGTAAGATATACATCATTCTCATCCCGACCACCAAGAGCGTAAAACTTACCACGCAAGAAACATCCCGAGCTGAATTTTCTTCGCTTGTGCATTGCTTTCATCGCTTTCCACGTTTTTGTATCGGAATTGTATCTTTCAGCAATGTTCACAACATTAGAAACTCCCTTTTCGCCTGTCTTAATTCCTCCAGCGAAAAATGCATCGGTCCCACGGCTTGCGGAAGCATACATGACCCGCGGTGTGATCATTTCATTATCTTTGATCCACTTATTTATCTCTAGCTCATATCGCCACACCACAATACGCTCTTTCTCTCTTCCGATGACTATCAAATGCGTACCCGCAGTAATCGTTTCCTTATCTCCAGAAAAGAAACAAAAGTCAGAAGGAATTTCTGGAAGTTGTCGGAAATTCTTGAAACCTTTATCAAACATTGCCCAACAAGTTTCACCGCTCCAAAACATAAGCACATATGGTTGCACAAGTCCGCGTTCTCGTCTCACTTTAAAAATCTCACGATTTCGTAGCAGTTGCGAGAACTGCTTGTTGAGAAAGTTAAGTTTCCAATATTGAAAACATGAAACACGGGCAAAGATCTCGACCTCAAGGTCGAACAAAAGCTTAGGAAGACCATAATGTGCAGCTTGTGGTGTAAGACTTGTGAGATTCTTAATTGTTTCTTCTTCTTCTTCCGAGTCGGAACAAAGTTTTGCATTCAGATCAGGGAGGGTGGGTTTAGTGCCAACAATCAGACGCTTTCTTGTGTCAAATTGGTTCAAGCTTGCTCTAGTTCCACGAGCTTGATTTTTTTGTAGCATCAACATTTCTCGGTTAATTTTACCTTCGTCTTTTGACATCTTATGCTGTAGATTTGAAACCACAAAAACTAATATTAATAAATCATCATTTAATAATATGAAAGTGAATGCATTTGTTGTATTTAAATATTATAATAATTCGCTTGTAGCAAAGTGTTGATGGTGAAGATAACTAGTGATTATGTAGAAAATGTATCACATAGTTATTACCTTGAAAGTTGAAAGTGAAGACTGCATTGTTCTCCCACTCGAATCCTGGTTTGATTTAGTTATTTAGAAAGATGAGCCAGAGCCAGTAATATAATTATTAGAAGAAAAGTTACTAAGATATATATAGTATATCTTGCTTTTAATTATCTACAATGGTAGTCAAATGTTCTTATTAACCATCTTCCATAAAATACTGTTCATAAATGCTCTAAAAACTTTGACTGTTTTGTTTAACTTTCTACCATAAAACACTAATGAATTTTACAGTTTTGACTGGTTTTTTTTGGTAAAATTTTAATGAAGAATTATTGAGTTGACAAAAAAAAAAAGTTTGACTATGTTTTCCATTTTATGTAAGTTACTTAATTTTAAGAACTTGACAAATAAAATAACTAAGTTGATACTTTTGAGAAAAACATGTTATTTCACTAAATCGGCAACTATGAAAGAAAAGGTGAAAGTCTTAACCACTCTAGTACAATAACTTTTCAAAAATGATGCCCCTAAATTATTTTATAGATATTTGCGGCTTAAAACCTTTGTTTCATGAGCTTTAGTCTTGGGCTGGATATGTCCAGTGTTATTTGGTCGTCTATTGGGTACACTACACTACAGCTCGTGATGCATGAAGTAGAAAACTGGAGACTAGTTAAGCAGTAAAGAGAAGCAGATGATGCACACGGAACCTTAGCGACACAAGAGCGTTATCTACCGATTCGCACTGCCAAGTGGATGGTTTGTGGCTCCTCTCGGAACCGTGTTTGGTTGGATCGTGCATAACTCTTCTATGCCAATATGCCATGCCTAGGACTAAAAAGCTTCAGTAGATGCCTCCCCTACATGTAGGCAGTAGACACTATTATGGGTGAGGATTTGTCTTCTACAAGAGTTAGATGAATTCTCTGTTTATTTATACACCTCTGTTGTAACAATATATGTGCGGATTGTCTCGCTAAAGGCATTAAGTCATGAAGTTCCTTTTCTTCTCATGTGAGCAACTCGGTGTCGGATTGGCTCGTCGTCAATATAGAGTTTTATTATGTCAAGAAGAGAATAACTGCGCCAAATTCATCCAAGTTTAACTTTCATCTTGTTTCTTAAAATATATGTTTACATTTGTTGTTTCTGTGATAATGATACATTAAACTGATATTAAGACAATAACATGGGATAATAATCTATGAGTCTGAAGAGTATTGTACCTTTTTGTGATTTAAACATATACAGTGGGAAGGCTGAAACTAATGACTTTGATATTCTCCAGAGAATCTGATCTTTAAACATGTTCATGAGAAGAATCAATGAGTGGTTCGTTCGATTCCTCACCAGTTTCCAGAGATTTTGAGGCTTTCTTCTCTGGGTATAACACATAGTGTTGAAACATGAAGAGGATGTCGAAAAATATTGATATCTGTTAAAAAATATGAGAAATTTATTAGAGACAGAGATAGAATTGAAAAAAGGAAAATTCATAAATCTTCTTACAAGTGATAGAAGAGTCTTTCCAATGTTCCCATAGAAATTCTTCCAAGAATCTGGAAGAGAAAAAAAGAAGAAAATAATTTTAGTTTTTTTCTTTCAAAATGTTATTGTTATTATCAAAGCAAACAAAAGCTATTGATGTGATGGAGAAGAGATTTTTACTTTGGTCAATAGATTGTATAACCATTTGCAGATAATTAGCAAGTCCTCCAGTAAAATCAAGAAGAATATTCCCGATGCTCCATCCGACTGTGCTCTTTCTAGTGAAGTTCATCTTTGCCTGTGAAGAAAAGAAAACACATGAATCTGAGTAATGCAGAGTCAATCAATTATGAAAAAAGATTAAGGTTTGGAACCGTTTCTGACCTGTGGAATGTACTTGACGCATGTCATGAAGACCTGAATTGAACTATAACAATGAACCATACAAAACAGTATCATCAAAAGTGTCAGATTACTATTAAAAGAATTGGGTTAAGGCTCTGCGCAAGCGCAACAACTTACTTGAAGATGGAGATGAGCCATAGCCAAGAGTGTGTAGGTAATGCTATGAAGAAACAGATAGCTGCAAATGCCCAAACAACAACCACAATACCTATAGCAAGTCTGGATACTTTTTGAGGTCCACGCTGCGCGAGTGAATCACTAGAAATCATCAGAAAGAAGAACACCATGTACGGGTAAAGAAACAAAACATAACAAACATTCCAGATAAAGGAAAAAAATTCATTACTCACTTCATAGATAAAGATCTGGAACAGTGTAAGAGCTGTCATTACAACTGCATGGATCGAGAATGCAACATCATTTGCAGCCACAGGTATCATCTGAAATAGACAAAATTATAAGAAAACGTCTCAAGCAATTGCTCAAATACTAAACCAGCTAAAGCAACCTACTGTTTGATAAAAATGTAGAAGCACACCGAAAAAAACAGTATGTTCTGTCACATAATTCGATATCGACCTTTCACAGTAACAAAAAACACCGTCTACATTTTCACACTACCAGAAACACACCCTCATATTGACAAGAAATATCCATACCCATTCATTCGAAAAGGAACGAACTTTTATTTTCATTTTGACTTTCATTAGCTAAGAATTGAAGGTAAACTTGTAACCATGAAGATAACTTTAGAATTAAGTTGAGGCAATCTGATCATATGGGCCACCAAGAACCATCTTAGAATCCAAAAAAAAACTCATTTCTAGATTCCACACTAATCTATACAAAAAGCAAGAACATGTTAAAACTTGGAAAAGGAACGAACTTTTATCTTCATTAGCTAGGAATTGAAGGTAAACTTGTAACCATGAAGATATAAATCTAAAATTAAGTTGACAGAATCCAAAACTCTGAAAGAAGAGACAATCTCAGAATCCAAACAAAAAAAACTAATTTCTAGATTCCACACTAATCTTTCAGCTAAGCAATATACATAAATAACACAGAGAAATAAGAAAGAGCACCTCTTTATCGCCATAAGTGTCAAAGTACTGCTTTTGAATAACAGGACTAAAGTAGAGGCAGACATTGTAGATCATATACGACGAGTGTTTTGTCAAATTCAACATCACGAAGTCGAAGTTCAATCCAACCACACTTTCCCAAACACAACAACAACAACAAAGATTTCATCAATCTCAATCACAGACCTTGAAAAAAAAAATCTCAAGAACAAAAGATACCTTTTCCTGCGGAAATTCAAAATCAATTGTGGGTAAAAGCTAATTGACCACGAAGCAAAAGCGATCCATCCAACGATTTCATACGAAATCTCTAGCGGAATCGAATTCCACGACGCCATTTTTATCGATCTCTTTTCGATTTCTCCAAGTTTTGTTTGTGACGTTGACGGAGATTTTATGAAGAGCCTTTGAAAAAAAGCTAAAAACAGAAATATCATTGGGAAATGAAATAAAACAGTTTCAAAAAATTATGGGTCTCAAGATGATGATGACGTGTCATGATCTGGAGAGTCTAGTGATATAAGATTCCACGATCTTAGCGTGATGGGTAAAGCAGGTGATTTTTAATGGGCCTTATCTATGAATCTGGCGGTCTTCATGGTTACGTTCTTTATTTTAAACCGGCGGCTCTACGACGACGTTTTATGTAGGTCTCAGCATTTATTCTAATTTTCGGATGAAAGAACACATATCACATAATTAATTGGTGTGTAACTGAGTGAATGTGTTTTGTAATTGAAAATTATTTGAAATTATCGAAAATGTTTAAATTATTTAAGTTTTTTAATAATTGTCTATAGTCCTTGTTTGAAAAATTTCTAGACGTTAGTCGACCGTTCAGTATAGACCTAGCGATTAATCAGAAAATCGAGTAAAAATCGAAGATTAATCGGAGAATAGTTTTAGGATTATTTTAATATTTTAAAAATATATTAATCCATTATTATTTTCAAAATTACATTAAACACATAAAAATATAGTTTTTAAACAAATTTTTATGATTTCTATTAAAAAATTTATGATTTTATTAAAATTTGAATATAAATTACGTAAAACATCATAAACACCCAATTCAAATGTTTGAATAAGAATAGTAAAAGTTGTTTTATACTTATAATCTAAAAATAATCGTTATATGTAAGATTAGGCGGAAAACAATCAGATTAGACAGAAAGTAATTGGGTAACTAATTTTTTTAAGAAATGAGTCATTAGTCAAGACGAATAAGATAGACCTAGCGATTAAACGGAAAATAATCGGAACTAAGAGGGGATTCTTAGAACGATGTCTATAACCAAATGATATTTGTACTTTGCTTGCTTTCTTGAATTAGTCAATAACTTCTTACGATGACATAATCACCCGAAAAATATCCTAGATCGAAGAAAATTGTATTTGTAATCACAATTTTTTTTTTTTTTGGTTTTAATTTGTAATCACAATTATCAAAACACCTTCAATGATTTTAGTAGAGGTTTGTTTATTATCACTTCGGGTACTGCGACGTCGTTTAGGCTTGGATCTGACGATCTGTGGATCTAAAACCCTAAGCAAGGAGGTGAGTGAGGTCCCATTTTCGTCACCGGAGAGGGAGGATTAATGGCGGCGATGTTAATCGGAAGAGCTTTTAAATCAGCTAGAAACTCTAACCTGGCCGTTCGTGCTCGATCCTTTTGTACGACATCTGCCGCTCGTCAACCCGATTCCGAGACTCAGCCATCGGAATCTTCGTCTTCGTCGTCTTCATTCACATTCGAGAAGGGAAATGAGAAACCTATCTTAGTGAAAGCTCCGAACACTCGCCGGAATAATGAATCGGATTCGGTGACGATGCCGACGTCTTTTATGACTGGTTCGATTGTTGGGAAGAGGTTCTACAAGAAAGTGACGACGAGAGAAGCTGATGATGGAAATGGATGGACTGTGATGCTCGATTATAGAACCCTTAAAACCCCTTCGAAAAGACCTCTCAAGCTTCGTTCTTTGGCTCTCGCTAAGGCCATTGCAGCTGAATGGGAGTATCAGGTTTGACTTCAATTCAAATTCGATTTGTTTTACTTCGAAAGTTTAATGCTTTAAGCCATTTAGCTACTGTTCTGAAGCTGATCAGTGATGGGTTTGATTGAATTTAGCTTATTCATTTAGAATACTTGTATTTGGGTCTGTTCGTTGCTTATTCAACTTAAAGCTGAGAATATGATGTTGTTAGTATCATGAACAGCTAATATACTGTTGTTTAGAGTTTATAATCATTAATGTTTGATTGGTTTCTGGCTTCGCAATCTGAGTTCTATGATTTGATCAATAGGTTGGAAATTGGATTAGTGGAATTGAGATGTAAAGCACTTGACTTGGTCTTCTTTACTCATTTTCTTATGTGATCTTTTTGCTCCTACTTATGTTTGTACGGTGTGACTGACTTGGTATTAATGTGCTGATCCTGTGGTAGCTAACAGAAGGGATTAGACCGTTCACAATGCCGCTCATGAGACTAGCATGTACTGCACTTGAAAGAGTTCCTCTTACGCGTTCAAAGATCATCGAACATCTATCGAGAAAGTTACATCAAGATCTCGTCTTTTTCAGAGCGCCTGAAGATAATGATCTAACTACTGACGTCCATGGTATAATACACTTTCTATTCAAAATTCCAACTACCTCCTAGGTTTTACACTTATTGAGTTGTGTCTTTTGCAGAAATTCAGGTAGAGAGGATTGATCCTCTACTTGAGTGGGTAGAATCAGAGTTTGGGATCAAACCAAATTTGTATTCTAGTATTTTCGGGGGTAAACAAGACGACAAGCTAGTGAAAGCAGTAGAAGATCTGCTCAAGAAAACAAATGATGGTGAACTCGCAAGCATTGATGCACTCCAAGCATCAGCTCACTCGATAGTAATCGCCCTCGGCATCTTCTGTGGGAAACTCCAGATCGATGATGCAATCAAATTGATTAGACTTGAAGAAGATTTACAGGTTTCATTTTGTCACTCACTTGCCAACATCTATTGCTTTGACATTCTATAAAATTAAAAACTAATCTTTGTCGCATGTTTCATGCAGGTGGACAAATGGGGGCTAGTCGAAGGTGGGCACGACATTGATATTGCTGATCTAAAAGTTCAGATATCTTCAGCTACAGTGTTTCTTGCTCTATCCCGTGAAAACTGATCATCAGTTTCTCTTTTGTGCTCAACACATTAAAAAAAAAACAACAAGCTTATCTGTTTGTAGAATAGCTGTTTCACACTCCAAGTTCCAAGAGGTGTAAGTGTAAACATTTTTCTCTCCTATTCACCAATAAAGCAAAACTCGAAAACCGAATGTTTATATTAAGGCAAAGCTGAATGAGTAAAAAAAAAGTGTAGATTTCAAATTCTTTGAGTTTATTGCTTGTTGTAGGCAATAAATTTCATCAAGATATACCACAAAATAATCTATTCTGATAGTTGTAACAGCAAATACAAGAATGAATCCAAAATTGGAGTTTCTTGCAAATTATTAGCATCAAAAATCCATTAGGTACTGCCTGATTGATTTGTTATTCAACCAGATTTCTGAAGCTGCTTGATGTGTGTGATCTGTTTCCCTGGGTTCAATCCCTTTGGACAGGCACGAGCACAGTTCAGAATTGTGTGGCATCGATACAGCTTGAACTCATCGTCAATGGCTTCAAGTCTTTCCTTAGTGTACTCATCTCGGCTATCGCTTATCCACCTGCATATGTGAAGAAACCTCTTGTTACAATACCTTGAGAGATCAAAACTTTTAACAATCAGATAGTATCCAGCCAGAGACATTTAATGAAACACAAAGAATCCTTAGCACCTTAGAGGTCTCTCATCCATTTCAATTGAACAAAGTAGGCTAAACTACACTACAACTAAAGGGGAAAAAACAACCTAAATATCCTTACATGATGACACAGATATAATCAGATAGTTGAACTTGCGGTTTTCTATATATAGAGATCTGAAGAAGCACAGAAAGTCCTTAGCACCTTCCTCTAGAGGTCTTTCCTCCATTTCAGTATAGAGCTAAACTACACTACAACTAAAGGAGCAAGAGAACCTAAACGCCCTACAAAATGACACAGTTACAATCAGACCGTTGAATTTACGGTTTTCTACAGAGACGGATGAAGAAGCACAAAGAGCCCTTATCACCTTCTTCAGCGACCTCTCCTCCATTTCAGTATAACAAAGTAGGCTAAACTCCACTAAAACTAAACAACAAGACAACCTAAATAACCATACATAATGACATGGATACAATCAGACTGTTGAACTTGCGGTTTTGTACAGACACAAGTGAAGAAACACAAAGATCCCTTAGCACCTTTCTTCAGAAATCTCTCCTCTGTTTCAGTGAACAAAGAGCTAAACCACAGTACCACACTACAACTAAAGGAGAAAAAACAACCCAAATGATCCAAGCCATACATAATTAATCTACCAAGTCTTATTGCTCAAACAACAAAATTCTCAAGCAAATCTCAAAGCATAAGAAACACAATGAGTCCTTAGCACCTTCCTTCAGCTCTAAACTACAACTAAAGAAACTAAACCAACCTAAGTGACCCCATATAACGTACTAATGTAAACTACCAACAAGCCATACAATATCTTCACAACAATGAATCCATTAGAAAAAAAAAAAAGATTTTCTTTACCTGTTGGCATGAAGCAAAGCAGCTGGGCCAAGATAAGACTCAGGGTTCCACCAATAGCTAGGACAAGACGTACTACAACAAGCACATAGAATACATTCATACATTCCATCAAGCTTAGCTCTATCCTTCTTACTCTGTAAAATCTCTTTACCAGGAACAGATGCTGGATTCTTCCTCTTCAACCATGGCTCAATACTCTTATACTGATTATAAAAATTCGTCATATCCACAACCAAATCCTTAATCACAAACATATGCGGCAACGGCGTAATTGTCGTCTCTTTAGATCCAGATTCAATCTTCGTTAAACAAGCAAGACCATTACATCCATCAATATTCATAGCACACGAACCACAAATACCTTCACGGCAAGAGCGACGGAAAGTGAGAGATGGATCCATCTCGTTTTTGATCTTAATCAAAGCATCTAGAACCATTGGACCACAATCCTTGAGATCGATTTGGTAATCTTGAAGCTCAGGCTTTCCAGGATTATCTGGATTCCACCGATAGATCTGAAACGTCTTCAGACTCGCTCCTCCGCCGCCGGTTGAAGCTTTCGATTGTGCTTCTGATCCTGTTGATGTCCATCGCGCCGGAATCAATCGCGCCGCCGTGTATAATCGTGACGATTTGGTTCCAACAACTCTTCCGATCAAACCAAACGTCATTTTTCTCGGAGAAGAGAGCAAATGAAATGAGAATGTTTTTTTAATAGTAGTGTATTAAAAATGATTAATTTGTTACTAACCTGTAATTATTAAATAAAGATTTTTTTAAAATGTATGTATACGTATTTGTAAATGTGAGGCTTAGCTTCGTCTACGTCATCGTGACCGTTTATTAAAAGCTAGGACAATCGTGACCGTTTATAAAAACCGGCTTATAGGTTTAATCACAGAATTAATGGGTAAGTTCTAAAACGCGCGTGTTGACCTCGAGAAGTGTGTAGACACAATCTAACACGTGGCGATTCTTGATTCGATGAAGTTCACTCGATAACAAAACCGGTATGAGAAAGCGTCCCGTTTTATAAAGATGACAAACAATTCGTGTCGTTTTTATGTGTTTTGTGTTTTCTAGTTTCAACAATAATTACAACGTAACCTATATTTAAACATTCAGAAAACGCTAATCTGTTATCAAATTATAATTCTTCAAACGTAATCAAATTGTTTTAAGAAAAAAAAAAAAAAAACTAAACTAAACGACGAACAATTTTTCTTGTTGTTTGAAGATCATCTCATGTTCTGTTCGCATCTTTTACACAATCTTTGAATGGCATCGGTAAGATCTTTCTCATGTCTTATTTCTTTCACAAATTTGATACAAAAAAATAGCGTTTTCAGGTGTGTTTTCGTTAGAATATAATAGAAATCAACATATTTTGTTTTGAAAAATTCAGAATAATCAACAACGTCAACAACAAGATCGACCATTACCAAAATTTGGAGAATGGGATGTGAACGATCCAGCATCAGCCGAAGGATTTACGGTTATATTCGCTAAAGCTCGAGACGACAAAAAGACAAACGCAAGTGGTCGTGCCACCTCTCAACGCCGTGACAATAACAATAAATCTCAAGATGAACCTACGGTAACATTTCTAATCTCAATTGTCAAAATTTTAAGACTAATTTGTAAGAAACAAAAACATCAGCCTTTGTATGTTTTAGAAAATATGAGGTCTAAGTGAAGGAAAAAACGTAACTAAAAAAGCTTGCTATTTCTATTGCAGAAGAAACGGTTCTGCTGTTTCTGAGGAACAACATCATCAAGCACAAGCTGAGTGAAAAACATTTGTTAGAACATCAAAACAGTTTCATATTCACTGAAATCTGTATTAAATTTATCATTACAGAGCTAAAAACACACGAAGTTTCGATCTAATTCTCGTCACATAACGTTTACTTACACAATATCAATGTCTCTTAACCCTCTGTTTGGTGAATCTTGATCTGACCCATTGCTACTTGTCTTTTTCTTGAACGATTTATGAGTGAAAATTAAAAAAAAAAAACCGTTTTCCCGGGACATGGAACTGATCTTGAACCGCCTTCAAAGCCGTTATGTTTCTTGTCTAGATCATTTGATAGTTTCTTGACTAGTTCCACAAAATGTCACTATACATTCATCAAACATCGCATAATCTAATTACAAGTCTGATCCAAGTATTTATAGACAATTTTTTTATAGTGTTGTGCTTTTTATGATTAAAATTTTTAGCAATAATTATGCCAAATTATTTTTTATTGATCATCAATATTTAAAGTTCACAAATATATGAAAATGTTTCTTTATTACCAAAAAAACACTAATAATATTAGTATATTTATTTCTAACATATTTATCTATAATCGGTAATGCGTACCGCTTGTTACTTTTTTTATCATTCAAACATTTTATTGTGTACCGCAAATAGTTTTTTCACCAATCAAACATTATTCCGTACCGCTTATTTTGTACAAACCGCACTTGTCCCGCAAATACTTTTCTCCCGCACGTACCGCAGTTGAACCGTACCGCACTATAATACCGCTTTCCCCGCACAGCAAAAAACGCTGTTACCATTCGGACCCTAATTACAAGTCTGATCCAAGTATTTATAGACAATTGCTTCTTGATCAATCTTCTTTCTTCTCTTCACTCACGTGATCTCCCTCATTTATCACGTGCTTCTTCCGGCTCACACATACTTGAGACAGCTTATCAGTTGGCCTTAGTGATTTAAATCTACGCATGCTTGGGCATCACCAGCTAAAAAATGCTGTTACTGCCACACGTGTGTCTCTTTGTCTTCAGGATCAAGGTATGATGCACTTTAAATCGTTTTAAACAACAAAAAAGAATTTTAAAAAAGTTTGCATATTTCTTTACTTTCTTGATGGAATAATCAGGTTGGTGGATAATGACAGATGAAGCCAATACGGACTGGTTTAGAGAATACTCGTTTACTTGGTAGAAGTCAGTTTTTTGACACCAAAAGAAGCCAATACTTTACAATTACCCGGAGCAACTGTGCTTCGTGATGGAGGTTGGTAATAAGCTTTGACTCTGTGTTTCATGGTGTCTATCAGTCATCGTCAGAGAAGATAATCTTCTTACTGCAGAATTCGCCCATCATAGGTACCTCCTGTTTCTTCAGATTCGGTTTGGTCTCCAATTCTTCTTCTTCTTCTTCTACTATCAAATAGCTTTCTACCTTCAACCTGGAATATCAAAAATCTAGTGATCTCTCCATGTATACCAAAAACGTCGCCCAATGTGCTCTTGATAACAAAACTCAAAAGGCAAATAGTTAAATCCCTTACCAAAGCTTCTCTGCAAAATTGTACCTAGTTACCAAAAATAATAGCGTTATCTTCTGTAATGATATAAGAACCTATCATAAGCTAGAGAAACAAATCTCCATCTGAAAAACCAATTTACTTGGGTCGGAGAGGGTATGGAGCTAGCTTCGCCTCGTCAAGAAAAATCTTAACACCATGCAAACGTGCACCATTCTTCTTCTTTTCCAGCGCCTACAGTATAAAAAGATTGAATCAGCAATCGCCGTACTTTCAAATTAATTCTTGTATATTTTTCAAATGACTACTCAAAGACATTTCACCATCGCTAAAAAACTAGTCTCACCTTTTCTACTTCGTTAGCAGAAGCAAACTCAACAAAGCCACAACGCACATGCTCACCCCTGTGGTCTACAATAAGTCGAAAACGAACAACTTGTCCAACATCTTTGAAGAACTTGATGCTGTAAAAATGGAGGATAAAATATCAGTCATAGAAAACTTGCTCTGAGAACGAAGGAGAAAAATAAAGGTGCGACTTACATATGTGATATTTTAGCTTTGAAAGGGATATTGTTAACAAATAGCGTCCTTTTTCTTGCGGCAACTTCCTGAATTTAAATTGCATAACAACAAAAAGTAGATTCATCCCAAGAATAAGTCATCTGTCGACTTTGTGGCAACAGTTCTATAATTAAACGCTAAGCATTTCTTCTGAGCCTGACATATTATGATGATAATAAGAACAGATACCTCAATAAAATCAAGAATACAATCAAGTCCGTCTACTGCCTCATCTTCTTTAACCAGAAGGCTTTCTCGTCGAAGGTAGTCTTCATACCTAGAATATCAAAAACCCTAGTGATCTCTCCATGTATACCAAAAACTTCACCCAAGATGCTCTAGATAACAAACTCAAGAGGGCAAAAAGTTTGAATCCCTTACCAAACCTTGTGATCTATGCAATACCTAATTAACAAAAATAAAAGCGTTAGTCTAATGTAATGGCATCAAAACTCTAGCAAAAAGTTACAACCAGTGTTACAAAAAATCAATTTACTCGGGTCGTAGAGGGTATGGAGCTTTTTCAGCCACATGAAGAAAGATCTTATGATCGTGCATATATTCACCATCCTTCTTTTCCAGTGCCTACAGCATAAAAGATTTAATCATACTTTCAAATGACAACTTAAATACATTTGCTCATTACTATAAAACTAATTCCACCTCCTCTGCTTCGTTAGCAGAAGCAAATTCAACAAAGCCATCGCCATCATGCTTGCCCATGTAGTCTACTATAAGTCGGACATGAACAACTTCTCCAACATCTTTGAAGAAATTGATGCTGTAAAAATAAAGGATAGAAATATTAATAATGAAAAACTTGCTCCAAGAACGAAAGAGGAGATTAAAGGTGGTACTTACATATCGAATATATCAGCTTCGCGAGAGAGACCGGAAACAAAGAGTGTCTTTTTTCTTACAGCATTTGCCTGAATTTAGCATCCAGTATGTTAGCACGACTCTAAGGAGAAAAGACTTAAATTGCATAACAAAAAGTTTATTCCCCAAGAATAAGTCATCTTTAGACTTTGTGGCAACAGTGTTGTTATTAAATGTCTGAAGCCTGACATATTTTGAAGATAATAAGGACAGGTACCTCAACAAAATCGGGAGTTTCATCAAGTCCTTCCACTGTCTCATCTTCCTCTATCACAATGTTTTGTCGACGAAGGTAATCTTCGTAACTATAATATCAAAAAACCTAGTTAACTCTCCATGTATACCAAATGTGCTCTTGATAACAAAGCTTCTCTGCAAGGTTGTACCTAGTTACCAAAAACAATAGCGTTAGTCTTTTGTAATAATGGTACCAAAAACTCTAGCAATAAGTTATAGAAACAAATCTCCATAACATGGAAAATCAATTTACTTGGGTCGTGGAGGGTCTGGAGCTGTCTTAGCCACTTCAAGAAAAATCTGATGACCGTGCAAATATTCACCATTCTTCTTCTCCAGCGCCTACAGTGTATAAAATATTGAATCAGCAACCGTACTTTCAGATAACTTCCTGTATATTTTTCATACTTTTCAAATGACTACTTGGATACATTTTTCATCAGTACTATAAAAATAGTCTTACCTTTTTTGCTTGGTAAGCAGAAGCAAAGTCAACAAAGGCATAGCCCACATGCTTACCCTCGTGGTTTACAATGAGCCAAACACTAACAACTTCTCCAACATCTTTGAAGAAGTACATGCTGTAAACATGGAGGGTAAAATAATTAGTAATGAAAAACTTGCTCCAAGAACGAAAGAGTAAGTTTAAGGTGGGGCTACTTACATATCTGAGAATATAGTTTGGGGAGAGAGATTGGCAACAAAGAGTACTTCCTGAAATTAAGAGCCAAGTATGTTAGCATGACTCTAAGGAGAAAAGGGATTAAATTGCATTAATAACAAAAAGTAGCCTCATCAAAATAAGTCATCTTTTAGACTTTGTGGCAACAGTTGTCTTATAAAAGACTGAGCGTTTTCTTCTGAGCTTGACATATTTTAAAGATAACAAGAAGAGGTACCTCAACAAAATCGGGAGGTGTCTCATTTTCTTCTATCGGAAGGGTTTCTCGTCGAAGGTAGTCTCTGCAGCTGAAAAATAAAAAAAAAACCTAGTGACCTCTTCATGTATACCAAAAACTTCACCCAATGTGCTCTTGATAACAAAACTCAGAAGGCAAACAGTTAAATCCCTTACCAAACCTTGTGATCTATGCAATACCTAATAATAAACAAAAATAAAAGCGTTAGTCTTCTATGGTATTGTATCAAAACTCTAGCAATAAGTCAGAGAAACAAATATCCATAAAATGGAAAAGAAATTTACTTGGGTTGTGGAGCTCTCGTAGTGACTTTAAGAAAAATCTTACGATCGTGCAAATATTCACCATTCTTCTTTTCCAGCGCCTAGAGTATAAAAGATTTAATCGGCAATCATACAGTCAAATGACTACTTAAATACTTTTCATCATTACTATAAAACTAGTCTAACCTTGTTTGTTTCGGTAGCAGAAGCAAACTCAACAAAGCCATAGCTCCTATGAATACCTCGGCGATGTACAGCAAGTTGAACATGAACAACTTGTACAGCATCTTTGAAGAAATCGATGCTGTAAAAGGGGAGGGTAAAATATATCAGTCATGCTCAGAGAAGGAAAGCGGAATTTAATGGTGATGCTACTTACATATCTGATATTATAGTTTGGGGAGCGAGATTGGCAATCAAGAGCGTATTTTTTAGTACAGCAGCTTCCTGAACCTGATCATGAGACTTGTGCTGGAGACTATCAGCAAATCCTCTGGTTGTCTCCTCCTCCGGTTACATACAAGAGTTAAAAGAAAAACGTTTTCAACGAACAAGAGGATTCCGACCATCTGAGTTTACCTTCTCCTCGGTTTGGTAAGAGGTTTCCTTATGTTTCTTCAGAATGGGTTTGGTCTCCAAATCATCTTCCGGATTTCGCTTACCTAAAAGAAGATAGAGCAGCAAAAAGCAAAAGTTAAAATCAACAACCTCTTCAGCTAAGCATAAAACATTGCATATGAGCTCAGAGCCACATAAAACAAACCAAATAAATTAACTTTGACCACCGATTTCTTGCTAGAACTGGCCATGGAGAAGGTTTAAACAGCGCCGATTTATTTCCCGGGAAGATTTGAGAGAGGCATATAACTGTTATATAAATAGCCCTAGAAATCCACCTGGAAAAAAGGTATTTGGGTCTGGGCATCTGGGTAACCCGTTCGGGTTTGGGTAAAATCCGATCGGCTTCGGATGATCTAGTGAGTATTGAATTTTATATTTGAAAAGGTAATTTTAAAATTTCGATTCGGTTTCGGATCGGTTCTTGTCGGATTCAGGCGAAAAATTGCAGACCTTATAAATACCAAAAAAAAATAGATATCCTTTTGGTTCATATATTTTGTACCTAAAATATCGGGTATCCGAAAAAAAAAACAACCTTAAAAAATTTGTAAAATTCAAATAAATTTAGTTATATTTGGATAAATATGGCTAAATTTTGACAAATATAACAAATAAATTTTGGATAGTTTAGTTGTTTTGGGTATTTAGATCTAAAACTAATTGTGATATAGTCGAAATTATAATTGTAATTTTGGGTAACATGGATCATATTAAGATTAACTATATTTAATATTCTGGATATTAATTATATGTTCATGTTCGGATATTCGGATACCCGTTTGGATATCTGGGTAATACCTAATACCCACATGTAAGACTAAACAGAACCTAGTATGGTAATATGGTAATACCCATACTCTACCCAACTCGGTCTTTCGGGTCATTCGGATATCCGAAAAAAAAAACCTTAAAAAATTTTGTAAAATTTAAATAAATTAAGTTATATTTGGATAAATTTGGCTAAATTTTGACAAATATAACAAATAATTTTGGATAGTTTGGTTGTTTTGAGTACAATTTAGACAAATATAACTAATCTTTTCCATAACTCTTTTAATCTCTTAGGAACAACACATCATCAAGAAATAGCCGAGTCAAAAATTAGATCATTGAAACAGTTTCATATTCACTGGAATCTGTATAAATTTATCATTACAGAGCTAAAAACAGACGCAGTTTCGATCTAATTCTGGTCACACAACATTTACTTACACAATATCAATGTATGTTAACCCTCTGTTTGGTGAGTCTTGATCTGACCCATTGCTGCTTGTTTTTTTCTTGAACGATTTCTGACTGAAGATCCGAGACACCGTTTTCCCGGGACGTGGAACTGATCTTGAACCGCCTTCAAAGCCGTTATGTTTATTGTCTAGATCATTTGACAGTTTATTGACTGGTTCCACAAAATGTCTTCTGAATGTTGGATTTCTTGAGCCGCCTTCAAAGCGGTTATGTGTCCCTCGGGAAATTATGGTTTTGTCAACCAAATCAGTTCAAATCGTATACAGTTCTTACTTAGGTAATAATGAATGCAGATAGTGATTCAACACCAAACCACTCAAAATCAAGTATAATTTTAACGTACGTTCAGACAAAAACTTAACTACTAGCTAGAACATAAGAAAAACCGAAGTAATATAATATAAACGAAGTGAAATTGTATGACAAGTTTAAAAACACCAAAGAGCTTCATCTTCTATCAGTCGTCGTTGGAAGAGAAGGTAATCTTCTTACCGCAGAATCCGTCGGATTTTTCCTGCTGTTGCTTCAGATTCGGTTCTCGTAAAAGGTTGTCTTCGTACCTGGAATATATCAAAACCCCTTGTGATCTTCCCATGTATACGAAAAACTTCACCCAATGTGCTCTTGATAACAAAACTCAATAGACAAAAGTAGTAGTTAAAAATCCCTTACCAAAGCTTCTTTGCAAGGTTGTACCTAATTAACAGAAATAACAACGTTAATCTTCATTCTGTTATGACATCAAAAACTATAGCAATAAGTTAGAGAAACAAATCTCCATATGGAAAATCAATTTACTTTGGTCGGAGAGGGTATGGAGCTATCTCAGCCAAGTCAAGATAAATCTTATGATACCGCAAACTTTTACCATTCTTCTCTTCCAGTGCCTACAGTATAAAAGATTTAGTCAAAAAAATCGAATATAATGACTACTTAAATACATTTCATCATTACTATAAAAACTACTAACCTTCTCTGCTTCATTAGCAGAAGCAAACTCAAAAAAGCCACAGCCCACATGCTTACCCTTGTGGTCTACAATAAGTCGAACACGGACAACTTCTCCAACATCTTTGAAGAAATACATGCTGTAAACATGGAGGATATAATATGAATCATGAAAAACTTGCTCCAAGAACGAAAGAGGAAATTAAAGGTGCTACTTACATCTTTGGTATATTAGTTTTAGAAGGGAGATTGGCAACAAAGAGCGTCTTTTTTCTTGCTTCCTGAATTTAGCCGACAAGTGTGTTAGCATGGCTTTAAGAAGGAAAGGACTTAAATTGCATAACAACAAAGTTATCTTTCGGCTTTGTGGCAGCAGTTTTGTTATTAAACACTAAGTGTTTCTTCTGAGCCTGACATATTTTGAAGATAATAAGAACATGTACCTCAACAAAATAGGGAGTTTCAACAAGTCCTTCCACTGCCTCATCTTCTTGTCGAAGGTAGTCTTCGTACCTGGAACATCAAAAACCCTTGTGATCTCTCCATGTATACCAAAAACTTCATCCAATGTGCTCTTGATAACAAACTCAAGATGCAAATAGTTAAATTCCTTACCAAATCTTGTGATCTATGCACCACCTAATTAACAAAAATAAGTGTTAGTCTTCTGTGATTGTATGAAAACTCTAGCAATAAGTTAAGAGAAACAAATCTCCATAACATGGAAAATTAATTTACTTGGGTGGAGGGAATGGAGCTATCTAGCCGCTTCAAGAAAAATCTTGCCATCCTGCAAAAAAAAAACCTTCTCCAAGAACGAAAGAGGAAGTTTAAGGTGTTGTACTTACATATCTGATATTAGAGTTTGGGGAGTAAGATGGGCAACAAAGAGTGTCTTTGTTTTTCTTATGGAAACTGCCTGAATTTAACAGCCAAGTGTGTTAGCACGACGCTAAGAATAAAAGAACTTAAGTTGCATAAAAACAAAAAGTAGCCTCATCTAAGGATTCATCCCCACAATAAGAACATGTACCTCAGCAACATCGGGAGTTTCGCCATGTCCTTTCATCAAAAAAATCTTATGATCGTGCAAATATTCACCATTCTTCTTTTTCAGCACCTACCGTATAAAAGATTTAGTCAGCTATCATACTTTCAAATAACTACTTGTATATCTTTCATCATAAGTTTGTATACACTACTTTTCAAATGACTACTTAAATACTTTTTTCATCATTACTATAAAACTACTCTCACTTTCTTTGCTTCGTTAGCAGAAAGAAACTCAACAAAGGCATAGCCCAAATGCTTGCCCTCATGGTTTGCAATAAGTCAACACTAACAACTTCTCCAACATCTTTGCAGAAATCGAAGCTGTAAAAGTGGAGGATAAAATAATATCAGTGATGGAAAACTTGCTCCGAGAAGAAAAGTGGTGCTACTTACATATCTAATATTTTAGTTTGGGGAGAGAGATTGGCAACAAAGAGTACTTCCTGCATTTAACAGCCAAGTGTGTTAGCATGACTCTAAGGAGAAAATGACTTAGGTTGCATTAACATGAAAAAGGTAGTAAGATTCATCCCCAAAATAAGTCACATCGATCTTTCGACTTTGTGGCAACAGTTCTGTTATTAAATGCTAAGTGTTTCTTCATACCTCAGCAAAATCGGGAGGTGTCTCATCTTCTTCTATCAGGCGGCTTTCTCGTCGAAGGCAGTCTTCATACCTGGAATATGAAAAACCCTAGTGATCTCTACATGTATACCAAAAACTTCACCCAATGTGTTCTAGATAACAAAACTCAAGAGGCAAATAGTTAAAATCCCTTACCAAACCTTATGATCTATGCAATGCCTAATTAATCAAAAATAAAAGTGTTAGTCTTGTGTAATGGTATCAAAACTCTAGCAATAAGTTACCAAACATGGAAAATCATCTTACTTAGGTAGAGGCAATGAAGAAGCTATCTTAGCCACATTAAGAATTATCTTGCGATGGAGCAAATATTCACCATTCTTCTTTTCCAGTGCCTAGAGTAAAAAAAATTTAATCACCAATACTACTTTCAGATAACAACCTTATATATGTTTAAACATATAACTATACACTACTTTTCAAATGATTACTTAAACACTTGTGTCATCATTAGCAAAAAAAAAAAGAAAACTAGTCTCACCTTTTTTGTTTCATTAGCAGAAGCAAACTCAACAAAGCCAGAGCCAGTACGCCCACCATCTCGTTTTATAGCAAGTCGAACATTAACAACTTCTCCAACATCTTTGAAGAAAGAGACGATATCTGATATTTTAGCTTTGTGAGGGATATGGGCCATAAAGAGCGTATTTTTTATTACGGCAGCTTCCTGAATTTAACAGCCAAGTAGTAGTTTGTGTTAGCATGAAGAAAAGGGCTTAAAAAATTGCATAAGAAGAGGTTGTAGGTACCTCAACAAAATCGGGAGTGTCATCAAGTCCTTCCACTGTTTCCTCCTCCTGTTAAGCGAGTAGCCATTGGAACACATTTTGGAGAACAAGATGCTTAATTGAACATAATAAAAAACTTGTACAATATTAAACCTTCAGTGAGATTAAATTAGCTTGATCAGACTTGTGCTGGAGACTATCAGCAAGTCCTTCCGTTGTCTTCTCCTGTTACATACATACACGAGTAGTAGGTATTAAAAAGACA